CAGCAGGGTACATGGTAAACCCAAGTGGCACTGAGTAGGGACCCCTGTTTTATTGTGGGTTGAGACAAATTTGAGCGGGGGTGGGGGTGAGAAGCTTAACTTTCCAAGTCAGTCCTCTGATAAGTGTCATCTCCTCGAACCTGGGGTGCCCGCTGCCTCCACTTTGATCCTGTCCAGCCCCAAGGCCCTGGTGGCATGGGCTGTTTTAATTAACAGGCATCCTGAGAACTCACCACCCGCCACCTGGCCACATCCACCTATCTACAGGGAAACTGTGGATGTGAAAATCTGTAAACTTTAACATAAACTTCAATTTGTTTTCTTTAAGTATGTTTACTGATGTAAACAGAGCATATTAAGAGATTTCAGGAGAGAACAGACTATGGCTGGTATGTTGGTTTTAATTCAAAAAAGAAAAAATTATGACGCCAATGGCTTGGGTTGATAGCACTTTGCGGGGAGGGGTAAGAAAAAGAAAAAGGCTCCCTGAACACCCCTTGGACCTGGTGATCTGGTCCCAATTGCACTCTGGGAAGGCAGAGCTGTCAGAACAAAACCAGTGACAGCAGTTAAAAGCCAGCCTAGACAGCTCTGTGGTCGGTCTACTGTTGGGGACACTCTGAGCTCTTGGCCCCATCCAGCCACAGGTGTGCACATGTCCCATCACCTGGGTCTGCTGCTGGAAATCAAAGACAAAATCACTTCATGGCACTACAGATCTGGAAAAATAAAAATCTCAGCTAGAAAGAACATCCAATTTGGAGACTGTGGAAGGACAAAGAAGGGTAGGAACAGTTTGGGGGCCAAGGCTGACACCCCAATCACAGGTGGACAGTGTGTGGTTGCATTTTCGGGGTCACCCGTTGACACGCGGTGCCCCCCCAGTGATCAGACTGGGACTGCTGAGAGGCCTGCTGACCACGCACGAGGCCTGGCTGTGAACAGGAAAGGCCCCTCCACTGCTGAACGCTTTACACAGGATTTCCTTAATTTGTGCTTCCCTTTGGTTTGAGAGTCAAAAAGTGGGGGGCGGGTGGGGAAGAAACAATGTTTTTTGTCACTTGTCCAAAACTGAGAGGAAAGGTGAAAGCAGGCGTCAGCTATGTCAGCGGATGCTTCCCAGGTCTGGTGTGGGTCACCTCACTGAGGGTACGGAGCTAGCCACTCCTGGAATCATCACTGGCCTTTGAGGACCTCGCTTCTGCGGTGGGGGACGTAGATGGGCTTTCTGGTGGGGTCTTAGTTGTGCCACACCCCAGAGGTGGAGGCCCTCCACATTAGTCGCTACTGACGGTCATGTTGGTCACGTCGTCTCATCTTTCTCTTTAGGTTCACGATGTGTGGGCCAGTTCGGCGGATGTCACAGGAAAAATACCAAATTCTTAACTTATTCCATCTCCAAACTTGAAAAAGATCAGACAGTTACTAAAATAAACGATTTCTCAATTGTGTTCTGGTGGCCGCAGGCCCAGCGGCCGTGGGCCCAGAGGCCATGGGCCCAGTGGCCACAGCGGGAACGTTGGAGGGGGGAGGGCCCCGGCTGAGTGAGGTGCTCACTCAGGACAGGCACAGTCAGCTCGGCTGAGCAAGGCTCAGAGTAAGGCGGTGTTCCTCACAGAAGAACACATCGGAAAAAGCTGGTCTTCTTCTGCTGGTCTGGTGTGATTTTGACTCCCTGGTTGCTCCCTTGGGGGCTATTGCCTTCCTGAAATCACAAGAGGTTTTCTGAGATTATGGCTGAGCATCAACACTATGTCTTAACCAACCAGTCAGCCAACCAAGGAACCAATCAATCAACCATCTGCAGGTTTATCCTTCCCCTCTCATCCATCACCTTCAACCGACCATCCATTTATCTTCTTCCTTCCTTCCTCAAGCTAACCATCCACCTGTATAGTCCCTTTCTTCTAACCATCCATCCATCAGCTAACCATCCACCTGTATAGTCCCTTTCTTCTAACCATCCATCCATCACCTCCCAAACATCTACCCATCCCCTTCCTACCAATCATACACCTATCCATTCCTTTCCATCCAATCATCTCCCTCCATCATCCATCTATCCAACTGTCCTTTCCAACTGACAATTCACCTTTCACAAACCCAGATATACTTTTCATCTAGTACTCACCCACCCTTCCAACCATCATTCATTCTTTCAATCACTTATTCACTTACCCATCTTGCTCTTTCCCCTACTTCCTTCTCTCTATTCACACACCCTTCTCTCCTCCTTTCTACCCCTCTGTGCTTAGCACCTACCAGCGAGGCAGCTAAGGGGCAGCAGAAAGACTATTGGGATTTGAGGGCTGGGGCTGCTGGGCTTAAAGACCTAATGGCACTCACACCCGGCTGGTTTCCACGTCACTGTACTGAGGCCTGGCTTACCACCTCACGCCCAGCCCACCTTCCACCCTGCTGTGGGTGGTACAAACCCTCAACTCTAGCCTTATCCACTCAAACCTTACTGAAAACACACCAGTGCCCCTCAACCATCCCGTTTGGAGGTCTGCCCCAAATATGTCGTCCAGCATTTGGAGCCTCTGTGATCTTACAGACCCTGGGAACGTAAATCCTACTTTCTCCCATGTCGCCCTGTTGGGAAAGGTTCAGCTCCCTTTGCTTTGACTAATTCTTTCTCATTTTGCAGCTCTTAGGCAAAACCTGATTTAACAGTAACACTTATGGTGGCGTTAAGGTCAACTCCTATGTGGTCGCCAGGCTCACAGTTGTGGACAAGAGCCCCTGCCCTGGGAAGCTCCCACTGGAAGGGGGAGCCAGAAGTCATGCAGGTAAACAAACATGCGATGCTTTCCTGGCGGTGAGGAAGGAAAGAAAAGGCAGGGCGAAGGGAGGACGTGTGATTTGAAGGTGATGTATGTTTTGTTTTGTTTTGTTTTTTATAATTACCGCATTTCTTTTCTTTTTTAGGTGAGGCAACCCTTGGTTGACCTCACAGATTGCAAGGACCTTGTCAGTTTACAATCTCTTATTTTTTTTACATTTTTTTTATACCTACAGCACGTGGTCTTCCTAGGTTGTCTCCCATCCAAATACTAACCAGGCCCAACCCTGCTTAGCTTCCGAGATCAGACGAGATTGGGCTTGTTCAGGGTGGCATGACCATAGACTGATGGTGATGTCTGAACAGAGACCTCGTGAAGCCTGGGACAGTCCAGGCGTGTGATCAGCAGAAACACCCTCAAAGACATCCATGTCCTAATCTCTGGAACTTGCTGAATATGGTACCTGACGTGGCAGGCGGGACTTTGCAGATGTGACTAAGGTGAGATGGGGAGAGCATGCTGGACCATCCAGGTGGGCCCCATCTAATCTTGTGAATCCTTAAAGGCAGAGAAACCCTCTTAGTTGTGGTCCAAGGAAAAGAGGTGACGATGGAACAGGGTCAGAAAGATGCAGAGTAGCTCTGGCTTCAATGATGCTGGACAGGGAAGGAAACGGATTCTTCCCTGTGGCCTCCAGATATGAATGCAGCACTACTGACACTTTCCTCCGAGCCCCGTGGGCCCCATTTTGGACTCCTGACCCCCAGGACAGTAAGACAATGAGGGTGTATGGTGTAAGCTGCTAAGTTTGTTACAAGAACGAGTGACTGCAGCCCGAAGAAACTAATGAGGGGGTAGGACCCCAGGTGGAGGGAAAGCCCAAACCAACATGGAGTGCTCCAAGAACAAGAAAAGCATTGGCTGCATCACAGGGGGCGACAAGGAAACTACAAAGTGACAAGGAAGAAGGGTGGCAGCAGCCAGAGCATGAGGCCCAGACGGCCTGGCATGGCGGTGTGGAGTCTGCACTCAGTGAGAAGCACTGGGTGGTACTGAGCGGAAGAACGCCAGAGGTCCGGAAGTGGGGTGGGCATCGGCAGAGCCCAGCTTTCTGTGACGTTTCCGAGAGAGAAGATGGGGGTTAGGCAGAGCTGGCTCTAACAGTGATGGAAAAGACAGACATGAACTTGCAATTGGTAGATAAAGAACTCCTGGGGATCTAATGAAGAGCACTGTGATGATAGTCAATAATATTATATTATAAATTTCAAAGTTGATGAGACTAGACCTTAATTGTTCTCAACACAAAAATAATGATAAATTACGTGACATGAGAGTTGTCAGCTAATGCTACCATGATAATCATATTACAATATATTAATGTATCAAACCAACATTGTACACCTCAAACTTACATAATGTTGTTCGCTGGTTATATTTCAATTTAAAAAAAAGATCAACATGAAATGGTATGCGGCTGCAACTCTGAATATAAACAAAGGTGGTAGGAAATGGGTAGGAACTTAACTGTCAGTGATGTGCAATTCAGTTAAGAAAAAGCAAAATCACAAGGATTTTGGCTGAGCACAAGCGCTTTGTAATCTGTGCCCTGGAAAGATGTGGCACATCCTGGAGGCCATCAACAGGGCAGTATCAAAAACGCAGGCCAAGTGTCACCGTGATGCTCAGTGCAATTGCCAGTGGGCAAAAGTGAGTCAGAAGGATTGTTAAGAATAAAACTTTTACCATTATACCGAAGAGAAAAGAATCGTTAAGAAAATCACAATTGTAAGAAAATTTCTTTAAGAAAACTACATTAGTTTCCATGGACTGTTTCCCATTTGGGTCAAAAAGTTGCTATTAAATCAATCTTGTGCCTTACGATTCAATTCACGGTATCTTAGAATTATGAAAACATATTCGTTTTAATTAGGTGTGAACTACTTAAATGGTGTTTTGTGTTTTATGTGTATTCTTGTGTGACGAGACATAAAGTGCACCACAAATGGAACGCTTTGTTCTCTTGTATCAGGCAACGGGGAGTGTCACCTGGCCGGGAATGAGTGGCCACTGGAACTGAAGCTCCCGGGTGACACAATAGTGTTTGAGTGCTAAACGCACCTGAAGTTCGGTTGAGCATTCAGACTGGACTGAGAAAGCACAAGTTATGCTGAGTGCTAGGAACTATGAAATGCTTGTGTGGTGAGCAAAAAAGCTAGAAATGAATGAAAGGGTGGACGGGAGGGATTTGGGCAGGACCTCCTGGAGGTCTCAGCCCTGGGACCCATTGAAGGTCACAGAGCCATCACAATCTGCAGAGTCTGCGGCTGGAGAAGAAAAATGGCTATCAACCTGCCAGACTCAGACGGGCGCTGCTCGTTGCCATCATCTTCAGAATGAGATGGAAAAGGCCGTGTG